TCTGCATCTTTAAGTCGGCATGCTACACCACATGGCATTCCTGATTCAACCCGTACACAGGCACCACACAGCATCCCTATTACTCGCAGCAAACGCGCAGGTCAGGCTCGGTGGACAGAGAGAGAGAGAGCAGAGATGTAGAAAGAGACGTAGAGAGAGAGAGAGAGAGAGAGACAACGAGACAAGAAAGAGAGAGAAAATAATTGAGGAAGAGAGAGAGAGAGAAAGAATAAGGGAGGGAAGAGAGAGAGACGAGATAATAAGGAAGAAGAGAGAGAGAAGAGAGAGAGAGAGAGACGAGAGACGAGAGAAGGAGAGAGAGAGACAGAGAAAGAAAAGAGAGAGAAATTAAATTGAGGAAGAGAGCAGAGAGAGAAGATAATAAGAGGAGGAAGAGAGAGAGAGAGATTAAGGACCTTTGCAGACAGCAGCAGTCCGTGTAAGGGCAACGTCCTCAGCTAGTGTCATCAGCCTACACACGCCATCCCGCGCGTGTCTATGTACCCAGTAACGATACTCACTACAGAACCCACACATGCTTCTCAAGTTCACATTCTATCTGCCTTCTCATCATCTCCTATAATCTCTCCCCACATCGATGTCCGTCCTCTCTCCATTCTTCTTCACAGGCGATCCTTCATCCAGGCTCTCTTGCCATTCTCCTTTGTCGGTTCTACTTGAAATTTCGTTATCTCTCCTTCCTCCCTTCCTATCTATTCCTTCCCTGCTTTCTTTCTCTATCCGGTAACTCATCGATTCTTGCTGCTCCCCTCTCCCCCTCTCTTCCCCTTCTACTAACTCCTGCTTTCCTCGCCCCCTGCTCCCCTCACTCCCCCTTCGACTCACTCGTGCTACCTTCGCTCTCGGCTGCGAATTTTGTTTCCTGACCTTTTCAGCAAGCAAGTAATCAAGAGCTAATAATACCTTAAGAGCTAATAATACCTTAGTAATACCTTTAAGTAGTAATACCTTTAATTAGTAATACCTAATACCTTTAATAATACCTTAATAATCAAGAGCTAATAATACCTTAGGTATTATTAGCTCTTGAAGTAATGTATACATGTATATATAACATAATGTATACATGTACCATACATGTACATTTAACATAATGTATACATGTATATATAACATGATGTATACATGTACTTTGCATGTACATCTAACATATTGTATACATGTACAATACATGTATATCTAACATAATGTCAATGTGTACATGTACCATAGGTACTTTTAACATGATATATACATGTACCATTAATTATAATAATTCCCTATTATCTACTTCTGATGTACATGTATGTTACATATATATACATTATGCTAGATGTACATGTATGGTACATGTATACATTATGTTAGATGTACATGTATGGTACATGTATATATCATGTTAGATGTACATGTATGGTACATGTATACATTATGTTAGATGTACATTTATGTTACTCTATAATATAATATATACATGTATATATATATTATACCATCCGAGCTACGAGCTGCGAGCTGCGAGCTGCGAGTTGAAAAAAACCCAATGCGTCCAAGCGAACAATCAAGCGAACAATGTGAATTAAACAATCAATGCGCAGCAACTCTGTGTAAACTCTGGCTCTGACGTAGGCCTACACTGTGCTTGCTGAAAGGGTCACAGGCACTTGGGACAGAGCCTGTAAAAACTGAAAATAATATGAAGGCACATTCACAAATAGGCCCTACTACCGTACCTCTCAATTACAGTTCCACTGTTGTGTCACTGTATATTAACTTTCCTTCATAAAAACTAACGCCGAACGCTCCCGCACTCGCCGCTGCGAGTGTGCTGTGTCTCCATGATAATGATAATATAATATATACATGTACCATACATGTACATCTAACACAATGTATACATGTACCATACATGTACATCTA